CCCAGAGCAAACCCCACAACAGAGCCAGAGCCTCCTACCCCACAGAATGGGGCAGAACCCAGGAGTCCTGGCTCCCAGCCCCCTGCTCTAATCACTACACCCCACTCCCCTCTCGGAGCCAGGGAGAGAACCCAGGAGTCCTGGCTCCCAGCCTCCTGCTCTAACCACTACACCCCAGTCCCCACCCGGAGAGAACCCAGAGTCCTGGCTCCCAGCCCCCTGCTCTAACCACTACACCCCAGTCCCCACCCGGAGCCAAAGAGAGAACCCAGGAGTTCTGCCTCCCAGCCCCTCTCCACACACCAACCAGGGACCATGGGTTCCTGACCTCAGGCCCTGGGCTGGGGGAGCCCTATTCTCTGGGGAAGGGGCAGAGCACAGGGGCAAGAGGGGATGTGATGGGGGCAAAGGCCCATTGGACAGGAGAAGAGGGTGAGACTGACACAGGCAGAGCTGGCAGAGCAGAGGGGATGGGGCAAGGGAGAGTGTGGGGAGGAAGAGAAGGGGGCAGGGCAGACAGTTGTGAGGGGGCCACAAGGGAAGGGGGGACAGGGGAAGCCAGGAGAGGGGGCCCTGGGCCCCAGAGAAGATGAGGAAGGTAGCGGAGGAAGGAGGGACCGAGGGAGCCCCGTCACCCCCCCCCGCCCACCCTTCCCACCCCAACGTAAGCCAGAATAGTTGGGGGGGGGCACGAGAGACAGACGGACAGAACCACAGAGGTACACGGCACTCACTCCCATGCTCAGCCCACACCCCGGCGAGGAGAAGAGAAGCTCGAATCCCCGCAGTAGGTAAAAACAGACATTTCTGTTCTCGTCCCCCTCATCCTCAGGCTCTGGATTTCAATGGGATCGGAGAGTTTCCACCCAGCGAGAGGGGCCGGCGCTGCCGGGCAGCGAATTGTTGGGGGCTCCTGGGATTTTTTTAAGTATTTTTGTTGATTTTTTTTTTTTTTTTAGCATTTTTGTCATTATTTCTATGCATTCGTACTCCGGTTATTTCCCTGTCTCTCAGGAAAAGGGGGCAGGGCTGCGTGTGGTGAATGGAACATCTTTGGTTTTTACTTCTCCTAACTTCTACCCTGACAAAGCGATTCCTATTTACTCAGGTTCCCGCGTTCAGCCTCGTCTGGTCGCAAAGAACCTTTGGGTTCAAGCTGCGTTTATGACTTTGAGGTTTTTTTCTTTAGTCAAAACTGAGCTGAGGTCTGCCCGGGAGGTAAGGGGTTAAATCTACACCACGATTTGAATTTGAAGTAATTTGGGTCCTGGCCTCATTCACACCCCACCAGCTCTGCACCACAAGCTGCGCTGCTCTCACCACGGGGACATTTTCAAAAGCACCTAAATCTCCTAGGAACTTGTTGCAACTCCCATGCTAGGTCAATTGAAGAGTGACTAAGATCCACTCCAGAACAAACCCAGTTCCCAACAAGGGAGTTCCTCCAAGTGAAGTACATTGATTTAGAAACTCACAAAGGCATTTCCAGGGTGAATTCAACTAAACTGAATTAAGTTCACTTTAATTCTGAATAGCAGCATCCACACAAGAATTTTAACTAATCCGCTTCAAATTCACACCTTTAGTTAACTCGGATTAACTTCCCTGGATGTCCCCATGTAGACAAGCTAAATCCATATAAACGTGAGGGGTTTGCATTGTTCTACTAAAGCCAGTTAAATGCACTCTTTCGACTGTCTACAAAACCTGCTGCATGGGAAATGCACTGATTTGCCAAAGTAGGTTTCTAAAGCAATCTAGTTAAATGAGTACACCTCTCTTCTTTGGAGTTAAACCTGCCTGAAACCGATTAATCTTAAATCAGTACGAAACCAGCAGAATTCAGTACCAAAACGGGTGAATTCAGTACCAAAGCGGGTGAATTCAGTACCAAAGCGGGTGAATTCAGTACCAAACCAAATGAATTCAGTACCAAAGCAGGTGAATTCAGTACCAAACTGGGTGAATTCAGTTCCAAAGGGGGTGAATTCAGTTCCAAAGGGGGTGAATTCAGTACCAAACCAAATGAATTCAGTACCAAAGCGGGTGAATTCAGTACCAAACTGGGTGAATTCAGTTCCAAAGGGGGTGAATTCAGTACCAAACTGGGTGAATTCAGTACCAAAGTGGGTGAATTCAGTACCAAAGCGGGTGAATTCAGTTCCATATCAACCCCAAGGCCCTTATCCCCGGGGGGAAAATTTTTCACTGCGACTTCAGTGTTTTCAGCATTACCATCTCTCTAGCCCCACACAACGGAGCTCTTTCTGTTCCTCCAATGACAAGCCAGCTACTTCGGAAGCCAGCCAAGGTTGAACTTGTCTACCTGGGGAATGTGACCCACACAGATACGGCACGGCAGCTCCCCATGTGAATGCTCTGTTCCTGTCTTTTTCCAGGTTTAACTGAATCCACTTCCAAAGTGGATTTAACTGAATCCACATCCAAAGGGATGCAGCTAACCCGGGAAAGAGGGAAATCTACACACATGGAGTTAATCCGGAATAGTGTGAGTGCCTCCCATTCACACCCTACTTTAGTCCAGACTAGCTCCCATGCTACATGGGGACCCTCACTGTTAATCCGAATGAATTTTTAAAGGGGATCAGTTGAAGTCCGTTGAACCCCTTGTGCGATGCTCTCATTCCAAATATAAGTGGGCTTAATTTGATTTAGTTGAATTCACTTCCAAAATTAATGCAGTTTACATGCTTAATTCACTTTCAAAACTAATACATTTTAAAGGCTTAATTTGCTTCCAAAATTAATGCACTTCAGCTAATTCATTTTACATTCACACCTTTTGGATTAACGTCCCCATGTAGACAGACCCTAATTTGCTGTGAACCTCCCTAGTTTTGGCTAACCCGGAGCAATCTGTGTGAGGACTAATCCTTGGTGTAAATGGAAATAAGGCTTGTGTCTCTTTCTTTCTCTGGCCCGAGTCCTGGCCCTGATCAGACAAAGACTCGACTTGCATGGGACTCACGTTTGTGTGCAGGAAGCGAAATCTGGGCTTGGCGCTGGCAGGGGGCGGGACCCGAGCCCCTGGTGAGACGGTGGCCCCACCAGGCAGCCCCTAGGACATCACGGAGGCCAGTGGCACCTCAGCACTTGGTATTTTTGTCTAAAAACAAGCAGTCTAGCCGGGAGGTTATTTCTCAGGGCCTTTTAAATTGCCATCGATTGTGGGGGCTGGGGTGGGCGGAAGTGCCCCCCCATTAAAACCGGCTTTAAATGGAATCGACAGCTTGTGGGGTCGGAACCCCCCAGCCGAGCAGAAAAGCCCCCCACACCATGCAGCTACAGGAGAAGGAATTGGGGGGGGGGGGTAACACAGCCCCGCCAGCATCCAGGAGGCTGCTCTGGTATAAGACTTTGGTATCTCTTCTTGTGTCCCAGATGTGAAGTCCCACCCTGCAGATAACAGGAAGTCCAACCCCGCAGAGAACAGCAACTCCCGCCCTGATGCAAAGAGGAAGTGCTGTCTTGGAGGGGACGAGAAGTCCCGCCCCGACACAAAGAGGAAGTCCCACCCTGCAGAGTACAGGAAGTTCCTCCTTGATACAAAGAGGAAGCCCTGCCCTGTAGAGAACAGGAAGTCCTGCGCTGATGCAAAGAAGTGCTACCCTGAATGGAAAAGGAAATTCTGCCCTGCCACCTCTGCTTTGCTTTTATCCTCTCCCACCTGGTTCTCCCAGTGGCACCTTCACCCCGCCCCAGGAACCCCTTTCCCCACACACAACCAACGCTAGTGGCTGCCACACCCACACAAGCCATTTTCTCCAGCACCCCCTTTGGACGCAAGCCCCTCGGACATCCACCTCCACGGTCCAGCCCCACATCCAGGGTGAACTGGAGAGTGCAGGTTTACAACCATGAAAACTAAAGCTAGAACAATCCGCACAGCAAGCTGGGAGAGCTAGGCCAGCTAGGAGAACTCTTGGTTACCTACATCCAGGAGGACTTGGAGCAGCTTGGGAAAACTCAGAGGTCTCGGTGTTACCTGGAGGGCAACCTGGAATAGCAAGAAGGAACATTTGATGTGACTCAGAGGTTCTGTTAGTACTTGGAGACTCAAGCGTAACCTAGGATGATGAGTCACCTAGAATGCCCAAACTGAGACACAACACTAAGCTTGACCTGAAGAACTCAGAACTGCTTAAAGAATCTAGAGTAATCTAGAACACCAAGCATCACCTTGAACATTCAGCACATAGCTAAGAACAGCTTGATATCTTAGAGAGCTACTTAAAGAATCAAGTGTCACCTAGAACACGCCCAGTGATTTTGAACATCTGGAGTAACATATACCCTGCAGTTCTACTTGGAGAACTCAGGTCCTATCTGGAAAATCAAGAGTCACCTAGAAAGCCCAACACAACCCAGAACAGTTGGAGTGACCTAGAGTCTCCACTAAAACACAGAAAATTTAGGAGTAATTTGGAACACCAAGAGTCACCTAGAACATCCAATGCATGGCCCAGAACAGCTAGCATGACCTGAGATTCCAGAGTTGCTTAGAGAATCAAGAAAGACCAAGAAAATCAAGTGTCACCTGGAACATCCAGCACATGTGCTAGGTCATGCCAGAAGCCCAAGACATGGCACATCACAGAGCAACCTAGAATTCCTCAGTGTAGGAGACATCCTGGATCAGCAAACACTGAGTGATTCAAAGTCCTTTATGGCTCCATTGACCCAGTTCTAGCATGAGAATTGTAAAGGGGCCAACATTTTCCCCTCCCGTCCTTCCTCATCACCCAGAAACCATGAGAGAGTTTGAGGGGGAAGAGTTGTATTTCTAGAGGCGGGCTTTGGCACTGCGAATGCAGTGCGCCTTCCTCCCCCCACACCTGCTGACAGGGTCCCGATCCCCTTTAACTCATCTTTGGTTGCAAGATTTTTTTTTTTAATTAAAAACTTTTTTTAAAAAATGACGACAGGAAAAACAACACCCCCCCCCCACAGAACAGAATATAAAAAAGTCACTCAGAATATCTGTTACATTGTTATTATTAATTTTTCAAGTCACTTCTAAGTCCCACAGTTACAAATAAATTAACAAGACAGGATCAGACCCTGGAAGATTAAAACATAAAACGTTTAAACACTAGGAACTGACTACCTTTGGCAAAGTCATCGCGATTTTCCACCCCTCCTGGGTCAGTCACTGTGACAGGGCGGCATGAGGCAAGGGTTTGGATGCTGGCACTGCCCTCTCCTAGTGTCCGGAATGGGCATCTCCCTGGCTCACAGACCAGTGGCAGATGCTTCCCCCAATCCACATGGGGGCGGGGTACAGCGAAGCACCATCATCCTGGGGTGATAATTGGGATTCCCAACCTGACAAGTGGCTGAGTCTGGACAGGGGCTGTCTAGGTTGGGGGATGGACTGGTGGCCTTGTGGGCATCCTCCCTCCCCCATCAAGATTCCTCCAGCCTTGCGCCCGCACCCCTGCCCCAAACAAAAAGGAAAACCCACGAAGGAAAGGAAATGGAGGGTTGCTCCTGGGGGCTCTGCGGGACAATGGGAGAGGTCGCCGCTCCCCTCACCCGTCCGGCACGCACCCTAATAAAGCATTTCTATTTGGTTTATCTTTAAAGTAGATGAGGTATATGGCAGGCTATCTCCAGAGAACCTCGCGGTGGGTTTCACGGCACCGTGGGGAGGAGGGGATCCCCAGCCCAGCCGCTCCCTGCCGCCCCCCGGTCCTGACTGGGTTGCTAGCACGGAGGTGTGTACGTAAATATTTGGTTTCACAGCTGTAGTTTAAAGCTTGTTTGGATACTTATTCTCAACCCCGCCTCTGGGGAGGGGCATTGGGGGGCTGGCCCAGGGGAAGTGGGGGGGCCACGGATGCATTTCATAGGGATTCATGAGCCTCCCATCACATACCCAGACAATCTCTGGCAACCATCATCATCTCGCAGGGAGACAGTGGGAGAGCCGGGGAGAGAACCCAGGCGTCCTGGCTTCCAGCCACCTGTTCTAATGCATCAGACTCCACTCCCCTCCCAGAGCTGGGAAAAGAATCCAGGAGTCCTGGCTCCCAGTTCCCCTGCTCTAAAACACTAGACCCCCTATGAAATGCAGTCCCAGTGGAGGGTATACCCCATGGCTCGGGTTAGCCATGGACAGACTCACAGACACTGTAGAAATCCCATGGCCCCCTGCCCCGTCCCTCATGACAGCCATCCCACTTGCCCTCTTTCACTCCTCTTCCCCATTAGGTTTTGAGGTTGCCCCCCGCCAATGCCGAGTGCCCAGCACTCCCTGTTCCGCTCCTGGAGATAGGGTCATTTTTGGTCTAAAATCCTTTTTTTTTAAAACAATTTTTGGTTTTTTGGGTTTTTTTGTCATCTCAAACTTTTTGCGTTTGGGTTTTTTTGTTTTGTTTTTTTTGTTTGTTTTTTTTTGTTTTTGTTGTTTTTTATATATATACAGTAAGAAGCGATAAAGCAGAACATAGAATTTCTCTCTATAAAAAAAAGGGAAGCATTCCCTCTCCCCCCACCCCTGAAACCAAAAATTTTCCCAAAAGAAAGAAAGAAAGAAGAGAGTTCACTAAAACAGTTACATTCCACCTAGAAAACGCGTTCGGGCAGCACATCCGGGAGAAACCAGCCACCCCAAACGCCGTTCCTCTCCCATCGAGGTGAGAACTGCAGCTCCGGGGGCTGGCTCTCTTCCCTCACGCACCTTACAGGGTGAAAAAACAGCGGTTTCAAGTCTGGTCTTTTTGTTTGGTTGTTGTTGGGGTTTTTTGGTATTTTCTGTGTTTAAACCTAGGTGTTTCAGTCAGTTTCTTTGTAAAGCAAAGTTTCACAGTATGTTCATTTTGTGTTGTCTCAAACCCACCTGAACTCTATGAACACCGCGAAAAGCAGGAGCTAAAATGAGGTCAAGATTCTTTTTTTCCCTTTAAAGAAAGGTTTGTTTGTTTTCAATGTTTTTTTTTAACTTTTCCATTCTGTTCTTTAGTTGCCGGATGGCGTTTTCTCATGGCTAACTTCCTTCTCTGAAAGGAGCAAGACTTTGGTTCGCAGACGTTGAAAAAACAAAACAAAACAATCACGCACGAAAATTAATCCAACTAAAAAAAACACTCCAAAGAAAAAGTTGTCTTTGTGTTTTAAAAAAACCAAACAATATGTCAGCGTTTCAAGAAGCCGGTTTTTAAAGCTTTTCCAACCATGGGGAAGGGCGCTCAGGACTCTCCGTTAGCCCCTTTCCCATTCTGGTGATTTGGTTTATTTGGTCCTTTTGTCACATAAACCAGCGCTTCTTGACGCAACGTCCATGAGGTATTTTTTTCAAGACAGAGAAAGAGCGTCAGGCCATCAGTCTAGTCAGAAACAGTCGACATGCCCCTTTGGGTCCATTGTTTAGAATCCTTTCTTCTTCAATTCAAGGTTTTGTATTTGCGTTTTCTTGGTTCACTTCATTATGAATTTTTTTGGTTCCAAGTTTTTTCTCGCATCCCGAGTCACTGCGGTGAGAGCAAAAGTCTTCATGCCGTTGCTTTTCTATACATAGATCCAGCGATTTTTTGGTTTCTTTTGGAAAATGTAAAGAAAGCTGAAATTCCCGTTTTTCTTTGCTTGTCTTTTTTTAGTCAGGCACTGGAATATGATTCTTTTTCAGAACGTAGATATAAAAATAAGAATAAACCGTTATATGTCCTTCCTCGGCTTCAGAAAAATAACCCCAGAGATACCCGCGCTGAACTGAAAACCGAAAACACGGAATGGAAAACGACTGGTAGAAAAAATTAAATGAGCAAATAATAGTTTCATCCGTTAAAAAAAATCTCCGCTTCATTGCTGCCTGCCTGGGAGGGGTCAAGGCTCACAGCTATTTTGAGAGACGAGGCCCCAGTCCTGCAAAGTGCTGAGGCCGTGAGTGGCTTGCAGCACTTTGAGTAGCCCCGTTGACAGCGCCGGATCTACGCAAAGCGTGGAAGCGTCACCACCCGCCAGAGTCTTTGCAAGGTTGGGAGCCGGGCATCTGCATGAAGACCGTGCAGCGGTTTAAGCAGGGGGGTGAGTTTAAAGCGATTTAGCCAGATGGCTGCAAAGCCCCATTGGATGCTCAATCAGGCTAATCTTGGTTTCGCTAGATGCAGAGCAGCTTGAAGCTGCACCGCGGACACACGGCAGAGTCACGCGAGGACTCCCGCCAAGCGACACAGGGTCGTTGATTCCCTCGGCTCCAACAGCTGCCTCTCGGAAAGGCATGCAGGCTGGATCTGCGATGGAGTAGCCCCCACCACCCAGGGGTGTCCGCCCCAATGGTTAATCCCTCGCACTGCTAATCACTGGGCCTTATTGGAATTTGTCTGCCTTTAATTTGGTTCTTGCTCTGCCTTTCTCCGCTAGGTTAAGATTTTCTCCCCATGAAAGCACTTAGGTGCTGTGATCACGTCACCTCCCCAGCTCCTTTCTGAGAAGCTCCTGAAGTCTCTCACTACCAGGCGTTTTCACCAGCCTGCAGCTCCCTGTCTGATCTGGAAAAGCAGAACCCCGCGGGGAAGTCTGTGCAGACCGGGGCAGTTCGGTTAAACTGAAGCACCGCGTCCCCATGCAGATCCGGCTCTCACAAATGCGGCAGGCAGATCCAAAAAGCCCTTCGGAAACGTCTTCCCGAGTGCTACAGAAAAGTCACCTTCCCGCCTGGTTAGTTCTTTACAAAAATAAAAGCAAATTGAAAAAATAGAGATTTATCAAATCAAAAGCAAAAGAGAGTTTGTTAAGAGCGTGATTCTGACATGAAAAGAGTCTCCCACCCGTCCCCCGCTAGCCCCCTTCCCAGATGGCAAATAAAAATCAATTAATAATAAATAAAAGGTTTCAAAAGACATTCGACTGGACACAGAGGTTAGAAAAGTTTGTAAAAAGCCTTTGGGCGAAGCTAGGACTGGTCATGGGTTGGGATTTTTTGGTGTGAGATTTTTTTTTTATATTATTTCCCCTATTTCTTCTTCCTGTGCAATCAAAAAAAGCCCACCTGTTTTTTCCTTATGTTTCCCCCCAAAAAATGTCCAATAAACACTCAGAGAAAAATCAAATAAAAGGAATTCCAAAAACCAAATCTGCTGGCCGAAGAGTGACTCAGGTCACCCATCTGGACAGCCCCCCCACTTTCAATGAACGGTAAATAAAAGGCGAGATTGCCATTGAAAATCACCAGATTTCAAATGAAACAAAAACAAAAACCGCAATCCACTCTGGGTTCTTTGCCTTCTGCTTTCGGCGCCTTCAGGGTCACGAGCGGCAAGATTTTCACCCGGGCGCATCAGAGCTGCAGATTCGTTTTTTTCCCCCTTGCTTCCTCGAGGAAAGCTCCAATTCTGCTCCAGCGTCGTGACCCCAGGAGCCAGGGCTCTGGGGAAAGCAGCAGGTCCCATGACAGACTGCGGCTGGGACTGTTTCTTGGGAGTGTGTCGGAGGGAATAAGAAATTCAAAGCACGTCCACGAGTCGCCAATGCCGGGGGAATTCGTTTTTGGTTTCTCCGTCTCTTGTCCCTTGGTTCGGCTGCTTTGGGTTATTTTTGGTTGATTTTTTCATTTGGCTGCTGCTGACAGTTTTGTTTTGCTATCACTCATCTCTTGCCGCCTTCCCTCCTTCTGCGGCACCGGTGGGCAGCGCCCGGCCGCCCCTCACTCCGTCTTGCTGTCCGGCTCAGAGGCTGCCGGCCCGGCGTGGCCTGGGGGCGGCCCAGCCGCCTCGCTGGAGGAGCTGCAAGAGGAGCAGGTGGAGGAGGAGGAGGAGGAGGAGGAGGAGGAGGTGAGGCTGGGGGATTTGCTGGACAGGGAGGCGGCCACGGCGGCCGAGACCAGCCCCACCCCCCCTGGGGTGGCGCTCAGCAGGGGCAGCCCCGCGTGGTTCAGGAAGAGCGGCGAGGTGACAATGCTCTGGCTCCCCGGGGTGCTGGCCGTAGTGCCCAGGACCAAGCTACCGCTGGCGTCAAGACTGGTAATGGGCAGGGTCCCACCACTGGCCAGTGCTGCGGAGAGATCGGCAGATTAGCTGGAGAGGGCACCCCCCGGGAGGAGAACAGCCCCATGCCCTGCCCCCTGAGCCAGCCAGTCCCCCGCCCTGGGGCCAGATGGGAGCCGGCGCCCCCGAGACGGGAAAGGCCCCGTGCCCCATTCCCCGCACCGCTGAGCCAGCCAGTCCCCCGCCTTCAGGCCAAATGCTCCCCACAGAGGGGAAAGGCCCCGTGCCCCATTCCTCACTCTGCCCCCCAACCAGCCACCCCCGCTGCCCTGGGGTTGGCACTCCCTAGAGGGGAAAGGCGCCGCGTCCCATTCCCTGCCCCCCTGAGCCAGCCAGCCCCTGGGGCCGGATCGGAGCCAGCACCCCCTAGCGGGGAAAGGCTCTGCGTCACATTCCTCACCCTGCACCCCAACCAGTGAGCCCCCGCTCCAGGCCGGATGGGGCCGGCGCCCCTAGCGGGCCAGCGTGTGCGACACAGAACAGACACAGTGTGCGAGGGGCGGTTAGTGAGTGGATGGGATGGATGGTTACTGGGCACTATGGCACCGGCTATAGGCCATGGATGGGATGAGGGGGGCCCAGACTGAATGAGCAGGTGGGGGTGTCTGGGGTGCCACCGGCCGGCCTCACACACTCCTTGCACGCTCAACTGCCAGGACGACACACACATCTGGCCCCCAGCCACAGTCCCCACACGCACACTCCCGGTCCTCACACACACACGGATCTCTGCACACGTCCGCCCTCCCCGCACGCACACTCCCGAGCCTCACACACACACGGATCTCTGCACACGTCCGCCCTCCCCACACGCACACTCCCGGTCCTCACACACACGGATCTCTGCACACATCTTCCCTCCCCGCACACATACTCCTGATACACACACCTCCCAGATCTCTGCTCTCCTGGGATTCCTTGCACACTCACAAAGGCAGGGTTTCAGCTCACACTCACACCTGCCCTGTCACACTTGTTCCCCCCCAGACAGACCTGGCTCCAGATATGCTCCTGAGCCCCCACACTCACACCCACACCCTCGCACACGCCCAGGCACGTCCACCCTGGCCGGCCAGCAGAGCAGATGGCGGCATGCCTGCTCGTGCCACGAACCTTGGATGGTGGCCAGCGGGTTGGTGGCCATTAGCGCTGGGTTTAACCCCGCGTTCACCCCTAGTACTGTGCTTCTGAAAATCAAACCAGACGCAGCAGGTTAAGCCGGGGAAACCCCCCAACACCGTCCCATGGCACTGGCCCTCCATGGCCAGGGGGGCACAAGCATCCCACATCATCGGTTAGAGGCGCGTACACCACCCGCCCTAGCTGCAGGCCCCTTGGCGAGGGTGCCACCCCCCCATGGCACCGGAAGCACCTTCCCCCTTAGAGGGGGAGTTACCGTGCCACCCTGGGGCAGTGTCGTTCCTCCCACCCCCTTCAGTCCCTGTCACGGCCCCCCACCGCTTACCCCGTGCTGGGATTCAGGCCGGACAGGCCGATGGCCGAGTGGCTGCTGCTCTGGGGGCTGGGGTTGGTGCTGTTGGTGGGGGGGGGCGTGGCGGAATTGATGGCGGGGGGCCCCCCGCCCGCCCCCGTCCGGCTGGGGGTCAGGGAGCTGACCGCCGAGGACAAGGTAGTCACTGCAAGAGAGAAGTGGGGGCGGACGGGGGCGGAGATCAGGAGAGGGAGCGGCTCATCCCCACGGGCCTTGTTTGCATAGGCCCTATGCAAACACAGCGCCTTGGTCTGCCTCAGCCCCGTACCCGCCCGCCCACGCCTTAGCTGAGTTTAGGTATGTCAGAGGTGGGCAAAGTACGGCCCGCAGGCCATATCCGGCCCGCGGGACCGTCCTGCCCAGCCCTTGAGCTCCCGGCCCCCCCGCTGTGCCCCCTCCCCACAGCCCTGGGCCGCCTGCCTGCCCCGGTGCTCTAGACTGCGCGGCGGCCAGTCCTGGTGCACTGAGCGGCATGGTAAGGGGGTGGGGAGCGGGGGGCTTGCGGCAGGAGGTCCCGGGGGGCAGTCAGGGGACCAGGAGCGGGGGGGGTTGGATGCGGCGGAGGCTCTGGGGCGGGGGAGTGGTCAGGGGACGGGAAACGGGGGAGTTGATAGGCATGGAAGTCCCGGGTGGCCTGTCAGGGGGCAGGGGTGTGGATAGGGGTCGGGGCAGTCAGGGGACAGGGAGCAGGCGGGGTTGGATGGGGGTGGGGTCCTGGGGGGGCGGTTAGGGGCAGGGGATCCCGGGAGGGGGCGGTCAGGGGACAAGGAGCGGGGGGGATTGGATGAGTTGGGAGTTTGGAGGGGGGCAGGAAGTAGGAGGGGGTGGGGGCCAGGCTGTTTGGGGGTCACAGCCTTCCCTACCTGGCCCTCCATACAATTTCGAACCCCGATGTGGCCCTCGGGCCAACAAGTTCCCGCCCCCCGCCCAGCCTATGGTGACACAGGCCTCCAAGTACTCGTTCAACCTAGGCCCTCTTGGTCAGGCCCAGTTTGTGCAGGTCCTAGGTAAACAGGGAGCCTCGCTGGCTCAGCCAGGTCCCGTTTCTGTAGGTCCTACGTAAATAAAGTGCCTCAGTCTCACTCTGCTGACTGGACAAATGGACGTCAATCAGACGTCAAGAATGATAACAGTCAAACACCAGCCGGAGAGCACTCCCCCCCGGGCGCTCCATGACCGATCGGCAAGTGGCGATTCTTCGACAACGAAACCTCAGAGCCGGACTCCAAGGAGAGGCTGCAGAACCGGGCCCCGTGTGCGACCTGGGCACCATCCCATGCGGCCTGAGTAAAGCCTGGGAGCGGCTGGGCCCCGACACGACGTGCAAACCGCTTCCCTCCTGCCACTCCCGCTTCCGCTGGGCCCCCCCGGGGACCGCCACGGGACGAGCCCACGACGTCGCTGAGTCTCGCTCGCGGCTCGGGGTCCCGGGCTGCCTGCTCTCCCTACTGAACCTCCGCTCCGGGCACCTGAGGAAGGGGGCTCTAGCCCACGGAAGCTGAGGCCCAGGTCCTCCTCGCGGGCTAACCCGGCTCCCCGGCCGGTCCCGGGGCCGCGCGGGGACGCGGGGGCAGGACGCACCTGTTGTGCTCAGGCTGCTGGAAGCCTGGGAGAGCGGGAGGCTCCCGCCGGGGCCGGGGCCGGGGCCGGGGCTCGTCACCTGGGCAGAGAGAGGGAGAGCCGGGGTCAGGGGCTGCGAGGCGCCCAGCTCTGGGGGGGCTCTCCCCCATGTGCAGGGTCGGTACGTACCACGGGAGGGCTGGGCGGGGGGGTTCGCACCGTGGGGGATGGGCGGGGGTACGTACCAGGGTGGGGGGGTCATACCATCCGGGGGCTTTACAGAGAGGGTAGCTCATACCATGCGGGGATAGGACCATGGGGGGGTACATACTATATGGGGTCTGTGGGGGGTACGTACAGTGTGAGGGCCATACCCGGGGGTGTCGGCTACCATGTGGGGGCGTACGGGGGGTACGTACATGGGTGTAGGGGGTCGGTACGTACCAGGCGGGGGCCGTACCCGGGGGGGTCGGTACGTACCATGTGGGGCTGTACCCAGGGGGGGTCGATAGGTACCATGTGGGGCTGTACCCAGGTTTGGTACGTACCATGTGGGGGCCATACCGGGGGGCTCGGTACAAACTATGTGGGGGCCATACCCGGGGTGTCGGTACGTACCATGTGGGGGGGCCGTACCTGGGGGAGGGGTCGGTACGTACCATGCAGGGGCCCTACCCGGGGGGGGTTGGTATGTACCATGTGGGGGGGGGGGCCATACCCGGGGGAGGGGTCAGTACGTACCATGTTGGGGGGGCCGTACCAGGGGGAGGGGTCGGTATGTACCATGCAGGGGGGCTGTACCTGGGGGAGGGGTCAGTACGTACCATGTTGGGGGGGGGGGGGTGGTTTTGGCGTTTTTTAGGGGGCTGTACCTGGGGGAGGGGTCATGTACCATGTTGGGGGGGCCATACCTGGGGGAGGGGTTGGTACGTACCATGCGGGGGCCCTACCCGGGGGGAGGAGTCGGTATGTACCATGTGGGGGGGCCATACCCAGGTGAGGGGTCGGTACGTACCATGTGGGGGGGCCCTATCCGGGGGGAGGGGTCAGTACGTACCATGCGGGGGGGCCGTACCCGGGGAGGGGTCGGTACGTACCATGTGGGGGCCGTACCCGGGGGGGTCAGTACATACCATGCGGGGGGCTGTACCCGGGGGAGGGGTCAGTACGTACCATGCGGGGGGGGCCGTACCCGGGGAGGGGTCGGTACGTACCATGCGGGGGGCTGTACCCGGGGGAGGGGTCAGTACGTACCATGCGGGGGGGGCCGTACCCGGGGAGGGGTCGGTACGTACCATGTGGGGGCCGTACCCGGGGGGGTCAGTACGTACCATGCGGGGGGCTGTACCCGGGGGAGGGGTCAGTACGTACCAGGCGGGGGCCGTACCCGGGGGGGGTCGGTACGTACCATGTGGGGCTGTACCCAGGGGGGGTCGATAGGTACCATGTGGGGCTGTACCCAGGTTTGGTACGTACCATGTGGGGGCCATACCGGGGGGGCTCGGTACAAACTATGTGGGGGCCATACCCGGGGTGTCGGTACGTACCATGTGGGGGCCGTACCCGGGGGGGTCAGTATGTACCATGCGGAGGGGCTGTACCCGGGGGAGGGGTCGGTACGTACCATGCGGGGGGGGGGCATACCCGGGGGAGGGGTCGGTACGTACCATGCGGGGGGGGGCCATACCCGGGGGAAGGGGTCGGTACGTACCATGTGGGGGCCGTACCCGGGGGGGGTCAGTATGTACCATGCAGAGGGGCTGTACCCGGGGGAGGGGTCGGTACGTACCATGCGGGGGGGGGCATACCCGGGGGAGGGGTCGGTACGTACCATGCGGGGGGGGCCGTACCCGGGGGGAGGGGTCGGTACGTACCATGTGGGGGCCGTACCCGGGGGGCTTGCCCTGGGCGGGCAGCATGGGGGTGCTGCTGCAGGGGTTGATGCGTTTCTCCTTCTGGCGGCGGTTGCAGAACCAGACCCGGATCACCTCCTTCTCCATGTTCAGCTGCTCCGCGATCAGCAGGATCTCCTCTGAGGTAGGCTTCTGGTTCTGGGGGCCGCGACATAGGAGGAACAGAAGAGCGGCCGGGTGGGTCAGAGCAAAGGTCCATCCAGCCCCGTGTCCTGTCTGCCCACAGCGGCCCGTGCCGGGTGCGCCCGAGGGAATGACCAGACCCGGGAATCGCCCACCGATCCATGCCCTGTCGCCCATTGCCAGCTCCTGGCACACAGCGGCTGGGGACACCATCCCTGCCCAACCTGGCTAACAGCCGCTGCTGGCCCTGGCCCCCATGAACTTATCTACTTCCTTCTTGAACCCTGTTAGTGTCTTGGCCTTCACACCATCCCCCAGCAAGGAGTTCCACAGGTTGACGGTGCGTTGGGTGACGAAATACTGCCTTTTGTCTGTTTTAAACCTGCTGCCTATTCATTTCATTGGGTGACCCCTCGTTCTTGTGTTCTGAGAAGGAGTAAATAACACTTCCTCATTGACTGTCTCCACACCGGTCATGATTGTATAGACCTCTGTCATATCCCCCCTTCATCGTCTTTTCTCTGAGCTGAAAGGGCCCAGTCTTACTCATCTCTCCTCACATGGCAGCCCTTCCATCCCCCTCATCATTTTTGTTGCCCTTTTCTGAACCTTTTCCAATCCAATGCATCTTTTTTGAGATGGGGCGACCGCATCCGCACGCAGTGTTCAAGGTGTGGGCGTCCCATGGAGGCAACATGATATTTTCTGTCTCATTATCTCTCCCTTTCTTAATGAGTCCCAGCGTTCTGTTCGCTTTTTTGACGGCCGCTGCACATGGATGTTTTCAGGGAACTCTCCACAGCGACGCCCAGATCTCTTCCGTGAGTGGTAACAGCGAATTTAGACCGCATCATTGTATATGTGTAGCTGGGACTATGTTTGCCAAGGTGCACCACTTTTGAGAGATCCTTTCGTAGCTCTTCGCCGTCTGCCTGGGTCTTAACTACCTTGAGTAGTTTTGTATCATCTGCAAAATTTCTCACCTCACTGTGGGACGGAAGTGGGGGATTTTCTTAATGGTTTGCATTAACACTGCGTATGCCCCCATTTCCCTGTGTGCTGCACAGACCCAAGTGTGACCTCAACTGGCAGCCGGGACCCCAGGCACTGGCCTGGAGATGGGGGACCCAGCGACTGGTGAGCAGGAGACCCAGCCCAGCTTGGGAGCCAGCCGGTTCTGGCTCAGGGGGAACAATGGGCTGAGGAGGGAGGGGCCCAGTGACCTCTTCACCTGGGACCGAAGACAAAGGACAGAGGAGGGGCTGGTGGGGGAGGGGATTTAGGGGCCTGCGCTGGGCTGGGGACAAGGAGCAGCCACAGCCCATGGGGATGGGGACAGACCCAGCTGGCCGGGGCTGAGACTGGCCAGGCCCCAGGGCCCCGAGAACTGCCCAGGCTGGGTCCAGACCTTCAATAACCCTCCTGTGTGACGCTGAGGGGAGTCCCTGCAGCTAGAGATCGGGGGGCGCTGCGCCCTCTGGGGGTGGGGGCCCCAGGTGCCCAGAGCGAGGGGACTCCCTGAGGGGCCCCCGGCAGAGCAACGGCTGCTGGGGGCTCAGAGGTGTGGTCCCAGGAGGTGGTGAGGCCCAGGGCCTAACCCCGCAGGGGAGTGCACCCCCGAGATGGGTTGTCATACTGGGGGGTTGTGATGAAGTGGGACTGTTCTTAATGTTTCCTCTGAATAGTGTGGGGGTGCCTCAGTTTCCCCTATGCAGTTCTTAAGTATCTAGGGGGTGGGGTAAGGGTGTATGATCATTGCAGAGCCCTAGAGGGCAGGTGTGTGCAGGGGTCTGGACACAGAGAATGGCCGACACCCTGTTTCCTGGCCACTGATGGCCTGGGCCCTTCCCCCCTGCAAGGTGAGAGCTAAAGGGCTGGAGAACAAAGGAACAGAGAAGGAGGGGCTGGAGATAGTTTCAGTTTGGGGCTGGCTGAGACATGGAGTGAAATGGTGGGCCTAAGGAGGCCCCAAAGAAGTTGGGGTTCAGGATCAGCTACCTGCAGAGATGGTTTGGAGACCTGGCCAGACGGCATCCTGGACATTGCCTGTGGCTGGAGTCAGGGCAGGCCGCTCGGCCCGGCACCGGGGATCCACCCAGCAGGGGCTGGAATCTCCAATGGGGTGTGGGGACGACAACAGGGGACGGGGTTGGACAGGGGACTGGGGGTGGGGGACGGGGACAGTGAGTACTGGGGACAGGGCTTAAGAGAGCTGAGACTGAGGCTTTGTCCTGAGGTGGGGAAACTGAGGCACAGACAACAAGACTGGGTCCTCAAATCCATCAGCTGAATTCCAGACCGAGCAGCAGGAGGGTCCCTCCTCGGAGAAGCTGAGGGCCCTGTGGGCCCCCATGTTGCAAGGCCCCGGGCAGGACTGCAGGGAAAAATCCCTGTGCGAGAAGGGATCTGGTACTGGGAAAGGGCCCCTGAGGAAAATCTGAACCATGGGGAATCAGGAGGCAGCTGGTGGTCCCCCAGAACTGCCGCTGCCGGCTCCTGTACCTGGCCCACGGTGCCCCCCGCTGCAGAACCTGTAGTGGCCCGGAGTCCTTGATGCTGGCCGGCAGTACTGCCGGTCCTGTGACCCCTGCTAGAGGGCGGGGAAGGCCCGGGACAAGGGGAAAGCGGCTTTGGGACCCTTGCCCATCATAGAGGAGCCTTTCCAGACGCTGACCATGGACATCGGGGGGCCCCACAGCAGGGCGACCCAGGCAGGGAAGAAATACATTCTGCTGGAGGTAGATTTCGCCACCCGCTACCCCGAGGCAGCGGCCTTGACCTGCATCGAGGCAGACGCCGCGGCAGATGCGCTGCTGACCATCTTCAGCCGAGGGCGGTTCCCCCGGGAGGTCCTTACAGACCAGGGGTCCAATGTTGTGTCAGCCCCACTCCAGTGCCTGTGGGAGAAGTGTAGGGTCCGGCCCACTTGGGCTGGGCGTATCCCCCTCAGTCCAACAGGCTGGTGGGGTTAGAGATTTAATGGACCCTGCCGACGATGCTGAAGACTTTCGTGGAGTGGCACCCGCAGGACGGAGACAAGTATTTACCCCACCTGCTGTCCTCGTACCGGGAGGTGCCCCAGGAACCCAGAGGGGTCTCTGCTTTGCAGCTACTATATGGGAGGGCAGTGAAGGGTCCCCTGGGCTTGGTGGGGGACGGATGGGAGGGGAAGGCTCCCCTGATGGAGAATCAGTGGTGGAGCATGGCCTGACTTTCTGGGAACAGCTCGCTGAGCTCCTGGGTCCGGCCAGGGAGAACCTAGCCAGGGCCCAAGGGAGGCAGAAGGTCTGGTACGACCGCTCAGCCTACGGCACCGGCAACAAAGATGATCGGGGGCTGGGGCACGTGACTTATGAGGAGAGGCTGAGGGAACTGGGGATGTTTAGTCTGCAGAAGAGAAGAATGAGTGGGGATTTGATAGCTGCTTTCAACTACCTGAGGGGGGTCCCAAAGAGGGTGGAGCTGGGCTGTTCTCAGTGGTGGCAGATGACAGAACAAGGAGTAATGGTCTCAAGTTGCAGTGGGGGAGGTCTAGGTTGGAGATTAGGAAACACTGTTTCACACGGAGGGAGGTGAAGCCCTGGAATGGGTTCCCTAGGGAGGTGGTGGGATCTCCATCCTTAGAGGTTTTTAAGGTCAGGCTTGACAAAGCCCTGGCTGGGATGATTTAGTTGGATTGGTCCTGCTTGGAGCAGGGGGTGGGACTAGATACCTCCTGAGGTCCCTTCCAACCCTGATATTCTATGATTCTATGACCAGCTGAGGGGTCTCATCCGGTGAGGTAGAATAAGCCACGAGCTGCCTGAGACGAGCCCTTCAAGGTCACCCAGCAGCTGAATGAGGAGAACGATGTGGTGGACCTGCCCAGCCGGGCTCACAGCCACCGAGGGGACCAGGTCAACATGATGGAGACATACTGTGACAGGGAGAGGCTGGTCCTGGCCATGTGTGGCCAGTGGGAGAAGGGGGAAGATCCCCTGCATGGGTCTCTTCCCTGTGACCAGAGCCGGTCTCTTGCTGGACTCAATTCCCCTCTCTGACCAGCTAACCCCTGTCTGGCAGGCAGAGATCAGACAGGCCCTGCATTCGTACCCACAGCTGTTCTCCAACTGGCCTGGGCTCACAAACCGAGCTGTCCACTGGGTGGAGCCGGGAGCCCGTCCTCCCGTCAGGTGTTCCACATTCAGAGTATTGGGGAACACAGCCCAGGCCCTGGAGGGAGAGGTTGGGGACATGCTGGTTTTAGGGGTGATCCAGCCACCCACCAGCCCTGGGGGCCTCTCCCATGGGGCTGGTCCCCAGGAAAGATGGGTAATCCCAGTCTGTGTGGCCTATCGGAAGCTCAGTGCCATCACCGTGTCTGATGCTGGCCCATGTCTAGGCCTGACGAGATCCTAGACAAGTTGTGGGGGACTCGGTACCCCACGACCAGGGATTTCACCAAAGGCTATTGGCAGGTGCCTTTGGATCCCAATGCCAGACAGAAGTCGGCTTTCACCACCCCATACACGTTCCTGGTCCTGCCTTTCGGCCCCAGGGGGGCTGTCAGTGCTGGGTGGATCAGATGCTGGGGCGGGAGGGTCGAGGACGCTGCCCTTCCATATCCTGACGACCTCTGTGTGTTTAGTCAGACCTGGGAGGACCAGGCGTCCCAAGTGAAGAGGGGGCTGAGTCGCCTCCAGGAGGCAGGGCTGACAGTAAAGGCTGGGACATGCAAGGTGGGGATGGCAGAGGGGTCGTACCTGGGACACAAGGTGGGGAGCGGCTGCCTAAAGCCAGAGCCGGCCAAGGTGGGGCAATCAGAGACTGGCCTGCTCCCCAGACTATGAAACAGGCCCAGGCCTTTATTGGGATGGCGGGGCATCACTGGAGCTCTGTGTCGGCCCCCATCACTGAGCTATGCAAGAAGGGGAAGCCAGACAAGCTGGTCTGGACCGGGCAGTGCTCAAGGGCTCTCTGTGCGCTGAAGGAGGATCTGGTCAAGGGCCCAGACTTTGACAAGCCCTTTATGGTGCTCACCAATGCCCCAGACACAGGGCTGGGCGCGGTGCTGGTTCGAAGGGGGAGAGACACCCCACCGGGCACCGGAGCAGGAAGCTGCTGCCCCAGGAGCAGGGCTATGCAGCCGTAGAGAGGGAATGCCTGGCCCTGTGGTGGACCTTAAGAGGCTGCAGCCGGATCTCTTTGGGCCTCACTTCACGGTGTACCCGGACCATTCGCCCTGCCGCGGTTGCACCAGATGAGAGGGGCCAGCGTCAAGCTCCTGAGGTGGAGTCTGTCCCTCCAGGAGTATGAGATGGGGGTGGTCCACGTTCAGGGGAGTGCCAATGTTCTAGCTGATGCTTTGTCCCGGAGAGGGGGCCCCGAACTTCCCCTGGTCACCGGCTGGAGTGACCCTGCTCAGTTCAGACTCGAAGGGGGGAAAGATGTGACAAAGTGCGGGATTTTCTTAGTGTTTTGCATGAACACTGTGTGTGCCTCAGTTTCCCTGTGTGCTGCATGTGTAACAAGGTTGGGGGAGCGGGTTTGTTGTTGCAGGGGACCAGGTGTGACCTCGCTTAGCAGCCAGGACCCCAGACACCGGCCTGGAGATGGGGGACCCAGTGACTGGTGACGGGGAGGCCCAGCCCAGCTTGGGAGCCAGCCGGTTCTGGCCAGTGGGGGGACAATGGGCTGAGGAGAGAGGGGGCTGGGGCCCTGACCAGCCAAGTCCTTGCAGGGGGGAACAAAGGAGGGAAGAGAGGGGCCCCAGCGGCCTGTTTATCTGGGACCGAAGACAAAGGACAGAGGAGGGGCTGGTGGGGGAGATGATAACAGCTGATCGGCTAGAAGGAGGGGGCTGGGCTGGGGACAAGGAGCAGTCGCAGCCCCTGGGGACGGGGACAGACCCAGCTGGCCGGGGCTGAGATTGGCCAGGCCCCAGGGCCCCGAGAACTGCCCGGGCTGGGTCCAGACCTTCAATAACCCTCCTGTGTGACGCTGACAGGGAGTCCCTGCAGCTAGAGATCGGGGGGCGCTGCTCCCTCTGGGGGTGGGGGCCCCGGGGGCCCAGAGTGAGGGGACTCCCTGAGGGGTTCCCGGCAGAGCCAGGCTGCTGGGGGCTCGGAGGTGCGGTCCCAGGAGGCGGCCAGAGGGCCCAACCCCGGAGAGAGCTGACCCCCAAGTTGACCTCGGAGTATTGGTTGATCACAGGATGACTATGAGCCGCCAATGTGATGGGGCCGGGAGAAAAGCGAATGCGGCCTTGGGATGCACCAGGCGAGGCGTTTCCAGTGGAGATAAGGAGGCATTAGCACCAGGCCCTGGTGAGACCTCGTCTGGAATACGGGGTGCAGTTCTGGTCTCCTGTGTTTAAGAAGGATGAATTCAGACTGAAACAGGTACCGAGAAGGGCTACGAGGATGATCCGGGGAATGGAAAACCTGTCTTATGAAAGGAGACTCAAAGAGCTTGGCTTCTTTAGCCTAACCAAAACTAAAAGAAGGCTGAGGGGAGATAGGATTGCTCTCCATACATATATCAGAGGGATAAATACCAGGGAGGGAGAGGAATTATTTAAGCTCAGTCCCAATGTGGACACAAGAACAAATGGATATAAACTGGCCATTGGGCAGTTTAGACTTGAAATTAGACGAAGGTTTCTAACCATCAGAGGCGTGAAGTTCTGGAATTGCCTCCCAAGGGGAGCAGTGGGGGCAAAAGACACATCTGGTTTCAAGACTAAGCTTGATAAGTTTATGGAAGGGATGATATGATGGGATTAGCCTAATTTTGGCAATTAATTGATCTTCGACTATTAGCGGTAAATAGGCCCAATGGCTTGTGATGGGATATTAGATGGGGTGGGATCTGAGTTACTACAGAGAATCCTTTCCTGGGGGGCTGGCTGGTGAGTCTTGCCCACATGCCCAGGGTTTAGCTGATTGCCATATTTGGGGTCAGGAAGGAATTTTCCCCCAGGGCAGATTGGCAGAGGCCCTGAGGGGTTTTCTCCTTCCTCTGCAGCATGGGGCACGGGTCACTTCCTGGAGGATTCTCTGCTTCTTGAAGTCTTTAAACCACAAGTTGAGGATTTCAATAGCTCAGACATAGGTCAGGGGTTTATCGCAGGAGTGGGTGGGTGAGATTCTGTGGCCTGCGTTGTGCAGGAGGTCGGACTAGATGATCATGATGGTCCTTTCTGAGCTTAGAGTCTATGAATCTGATTCTAAGAAGGGCTGTCACACTGGGGGTTCCTCCCAGGGGCCGCAGGGAGCCGAGCGAGCACAGGGGCCTGGGAGCCCGTGACACACTGTCTTCCCCTTTTTCCAGATCATTTATGAGTATGTTGAATAGGACTGGGCCCAGGGCAGACCCCTGGGGGACACCACTATTTTCCTCTCTCCATTCTGAAAACTGACCATTTCTTCCTCCCCTTTGTTTTCTATCTTTTAACCAGTTACCCATCCATGAGAGGACCTGCCCTCTTATCCCACGACTGCTTAGTTTGCTTAAGAGCCTTTGGTGAGGGGCCTTGTCAGAGGCTTCCTGACAGACCATAGCCACTGGACCCCCCTTGTCCACACACTCGTTGACCCCTCAGAGAGCTCTGGTGGGCTGGGGAGGCCTGACTTCCCTTCACAAAAGCCCTGTTGACTCTTCCCCAACGTCTATGTTCTTCACGATGGTTTCAGCCAGCGTGCCCGGGACTGAAGTCAGCCTCGCCGGCCTGGAATTGCCAGGGTCCCCTCGGGAGCCTTTTTAAGGATTGGCCTCCCATGAGGTCCCCTCCGGTCCTGTGGTGCAGAGGCTGATGGAACCGACAGGTGACAGACCACCACTACAATGGGGGTCCCTCGCAACGCAGCGGGATGGCAGGGAGCACCATGGGAGGGGGTTCCCCAGGGGGATGGGGGGGGTCTCTCCAGGAAGGGTCTTCCTGGGGCGGAGGGTCTCTGGGGTCCAAGTGAGGCCGGGGGTGGCGGGGGGTCTCTCTGAGGGGGCTCACCGCGAGAAAGCTCTTCTCCAGGGCAAAGCGCACGTTGGTCTCGATGCTGGTCCGTTTCTTGCGCCGCCGGCCCGGCAGCCCGTCAAAGCCCAGGCTAGGGCTGCTCAGCTGGTTGGGGCTGGGGAGGGTCGAGTCCACCGACATGGTCTCTGGGGGGCGCACAGACCACGCACTCAGGCCCCCACTATCCTGCCCCCAGCCTGCGCCATCCCGGTCCCAACCCACCAGACTCACTACCCTCCCAGAGCCAGGAGAGAACCCAGGAGTCCTGACTCCCAGCCCCACCCTGACCCACCTTCTGGGCCCCAAAGCCCATAGACACCCAGCACACAGACATCCACCCCAGGAGTCCCCCAGCCCAAAGCCTGATACCCCCCCTCTGTGTTGCCCATCCACAAAGTCCCAGTCATGACCAGCTGGGCCCCCCAGGTCCCCAGGCCTCCCTCCCAGAGGTCCCAGCTGTCCCCCCCTCACCGGCATCATTGAGCCACTTCTCCAGCAGCGGCTTCAGCTTGCACATGTTCTTGAAGCTGAGGTTCAGGGCCTCGAAGCGGGAGATGGTCGTCTGGCTGAAGTCGTTGCCGTAGAGTTTCCCCATGGCCAGCCCTACGTCACCCTGTGGGGGGCAGGGGTGTCACAGTCAGCAGCAGGGCCCCCCAGCAAGAGAGGACCCAGGAGTCCGGCTCCCAGCCCCCCTGCTCTAACCACTAGGCCCCCGTCCCAGAGCCAGGAGAGGACCCAGGCGTCCTGGCTGCCCCTCCCCCAGCTGTACCTGCGTGAAGCCAAGCTTGATGCGGCGCTGTTTGAAGGTGCGGGCGAACTGCTCCAGTTCCTCCAGGTCGCTGGGCTCCTCGGGGTGCGCCGGCGGCTCCAGGCATTTCGGGGGCTGGGGGTGCGCAAGGTGGGACTCGGGGAGGCCCGGCCGAGTCACTGGCTGAGGGGGACAGGGGGTCACTGGGGGGCACAGGAGACAGGGGGATCCATGCACCCCAGCAGCCAGCACAGACCTCGTGCCCCGTGCTGGATGGGGGGATGGATGGACAGACGGATGGTGTGGGGGGTGATGGACGGATGGACAGATGGTGTAGGGCTGATGGACGGAGGGACGGATGGATGGTGTGGGGGGAGATGGACGGATGGACAGACAGATGGTGTGAGGGGAGATGGACGGATGGATGGTGTGGGGGGAGATGGACAGACGGATGGTGTGGGGCTTATGGACAGGGACAGACGGATGGGGGTGGGGGGAAATTGACGGATGGACCGACGGATGGTGTGGGGGGGTGATGGACAGATGGACCGACGGATGGGGGGTGATGGACGGACGGACAGAGGGATGGGGGTCAGGGGGATGGACGGACGGACAGACAGGTGGGAGGTGGATATCGACCCCTCTGCCCTCCCCACCCGGCTCACCTGTGCGGGCAGCCCGGCGCGGGGGGGGGTTGGCAGGAGCCCCCCCGGGCTTTGCTGAGGTAGCTGAAAGAGATTTGGTGTCGGGAGCAGCCCTGCAGGAGAGGAGAGAGAGTGAGCCCAGGCGCCCTGCCCCTGCAATGCACCTGCCTCTGTGGGGCCGCGGGGCTGGGCATACAGGGACCCTTCACCCGGGCAGAGATGCCGCCCCTCTGGGGTGGTGCGTGGGAGCTGGTGCTAGAGGGCTCCCTGGCCGAATGCTGCAGGAGCAGCTGGGGGGCAGAGGCTGGGGGGCCGTGCCCGGCGGGGAGGGTAGGGCGCTGGGGGGGGCTGGTGGGGAGAGGCTGGGGGGGCCGTGCCCAGCTGGGGGGGAAGGCACTGGGGGGGCTGGTGGGGAGAGGCTGGGGGACCGTGCCCGGCGGGGAGGGCAGGGTGCTGGGAGGGCTGGGGGGGAGAGGCTGGGGGGCTGTGCCCGGGGGGGGGCTGTACCTTGCTGTCCTTGCTGGGCCTGTGGCAGCAGGAACTGGGCGGGCGGCTGGAGGTGGTGCCCAGGGACAAGCACCAGCTGCTGGAGCTGAAGGAGCTGCTGGATGTCCTGGGGGACAGAGAGAGGGTCAGGGGGGAAATGGGGGCAGGGCCTGGCGCCGTGTGGGGCTCAGAGCCACAGTGCGGCCACGGAGCATGGCAACTGACTGCTCTCCCCACCTATGGTGCACAGCGAGACGCAGTGACACACACACACACCCCACAGTGCCCGGCGCAGTGCAGTAACATCTCCTGCAGTGCCCAGCTGGGTGCAGTGACCCCCCGCAGTGCCCGGCGCAGTGCAGTATCATCTCCTGCAGTGCCCAGCTGGGTGCAGTGACCCCCCCGCAGTGCCCGGCGCAGTGCAGTAACATCTCCTGCAGTGCCCAGCTGGGTGCAGTGACCCCCCTGAAGTGCCTGGTGCAGTGCAGTGACATCTCCTGCAGTGCCCAGCTGGGTGCAGTGACCCCCCCCCGCAGTGCCCGGCGCAGTGCAGTGACATCTCCTGCAGTGCCCAGCTGGGTGCAGTGACCCCCCCTCAGTGCCCGGCGCAGTGCAGTGACATCTCCTGCAGTGCCCAGCTGGGTGCAGTGACCCCCCGCAGTCCCGGCGCAGTGCAGTAACATCTCCTGCAGTGCCCAGCTGGGTGCAGTGACCCCCCCAGTGCCCGGCGCAGTGCAGTAACATCTCCTGCAGTGCCCAGCTGGGTGCAGTGACCCCCCGCAGTGCCCGGCGCAGTGCAGTATCATCTCCTGCAGTGCCCAGCTGGGTGCAGTGACCCCCCCGCAGTGCCCGGCGCAGTGCAGTAACATCTCCTGCAGTGCCCAGCTGGGTGCAGTGACCCCCCCGCAGTGCCCGGCGCAGTGCAGTATCATCTCCTGCAGTGCCCAGCTGGGTGCAGTGACCCCCCCGCAGTGCCCGGCGCAGTGCAGTATCATCTCCTGCAGTGCCCAGCTGGGTGCAGTGACCCCCCGCAGTGCCCGGCGCAGTGCAGTAACATCTCCTGCAGTGCCCAGCTGGGTGCAGTGACCCCCCCCCAAAGTGCCCGGCGCAGTGCAGTGACATCTCCTGCAGTGCCCAGCTGGGTGCAGTGACCCCCCCAGTGCCCGGCGCAGTGCAGTAACATCTCCTGCAGTGCCCAGCTGGGTGCAGTGACCCCCCCTGAAGTGCCTGGTGCAGTGCAGTGACATCTCCTGCAGTGCCCAGCTGGGTGCAGTGACCCCCCCGCAGTGCCCGGCGCAGTGCAGTGACATCTCCTGCAGTGCCCAGCTGGGTGCAGTGACCCCCCTCAGTGCCCGGCGCAGTGCAGTGACATCTCCTGCAGTGCCCAGCTGGGTGCAGTGACCCCCCGCAGTCCCCGGCGCAGTGCAGTAACATCTCCTGCAGTGCCCAGCTGGGTGCAGTGACCCCCCCAGTCCCCGGCGCAGTGCAGTAACATCTCCTGCAGTGCCCAGCTGGGTGCAGTGACCCCCCCAGTGCCCGGCGCAGTGCAGTATCATCTCCTGCAGTGCCCAGCTGGGTGCAGTGACCCCCGCAGTGCCCGGCGCAGTGCAGTATCATCTCCTGCAGTGCCCAGCTGGGTGCAGTGACCCCCCCGCAGTGCCCGGCGCAGTGCAGTATCATCTCCTGCAGTGCCCAGCTGGGTGCAGTGACCCCCGCAGTGCCCGGCGCAGTGCAGTATCATCTCCTGCAGTGCCCAGCTGGGTGCAGTGACCCCCGCAGTGCCCGGCGCAGTGCAGTAACATCTCCTGCAGTGCCCAGCTGGGTGCAGTGACCCCCCCACAGTGCCCGGCGCAGTGCAGTAACATCTCCTGCAGTGCCCAGCTGGGTGCAGTGACCCCCCCACAGTGCCCGGTGCAGTGCAGTGACATCTCCTGCAGTGCCCAGCTGGGTGCAGTGACCCCCCGCAGTGCCCGGCGCAGTGCAGTAACATCTCCTGCAGTGCCCAGCTGGGTGCAGTGACCCCCCCGCAGTGCCCGGCGCAGTGCAGTAACATCTCCTGCAGTGCCCAGCTGGGTGCAGTGACCCCCCCCCAGTGCCCGGCGCAGTGCAGTAACATCTCCTGCAGTGCCCAGCTGGGTGCAGTGACCCCCCCAGTGCCCGGCGCAGTGCAGTAACATCTCCTGCAGTGCAGTGACACTCCCCCTTGCTTTGTGTGATGCAGAGACACCCCCCAAGATGCCCAGCGCCCTGCAGTGACACCCCCCATGGTCCCAGCAGGATGCAGTGCCCCCCATGCAGTGTCCAGCATGATACAGTGCCCTCCTCATGGTGTCCAGTGCGATGCAGTGACCACCTACAATACCAAGCTCAGTGCAGTGACACACCCAACAGTGCCCAGTGCAACACAGACACCCCCTGCAGTGCCCAGCATGATGCAGTGACCCCCCCAGGGTGCCCAATGTGATGCAGTGACAACCTATAATGCCAAGCCCAGTGAAGTGATGCCCGACGGTGCCCGGTGCGATGCGGTGACACCCCCCTGCAGTGCCCAGCACACTTCTGTTATCCCCCCCAGTGCACAGCGCGATGCAGTGACCCCCTCTGAAGTGCAGCGACCCCCCGCAACGCCCTGAGTGATACAGTGACCCCACCGCAGTGCCCAGCACACTTCTGTGATACCCCCCAGTGCCCCGCACGATGCAGTGACCCCACACAGTGGCCCGTGCGATGCAGCGCCCCCCGCAGTGCCCAGCGCGATGCAGCGCCCCCGCGGGGCCCATCCCTTACCTGTGCGGTGAGCTGGATGGGCTGCGACAGAGCCAGCTGGGGCGTTTGCGGCTGGCTCTGGGGTGCCTCGCCCCCCGGCGGCTGGCTGGCGGCGTTGGCTGCAGCGGCCGCGGCCAGGAGCTGCGCCTGGGCCTGCTGCAGGAGGAGCTGCTGCTGGGCAGGCATCAGGGCCGTCAGCTGGGGGCCGGGCGAGCCGGGGCGCGGGGGGCGCGGGGGGAGGGGAAGCAGCAGGTTAGTCCCAGCGCGTCCCCGCCAGAAGCGCCAGCAAGCAGCAAAGCAGCCCCCACCCCCGTTAGCCCCGGGGCACCGGCCTGGGACCCCCACTTACATGCCGCTGCCCCCGAGCCAACCGGGAACCAGCCCCCCTGCAGGCGAAGGGCCCCGTGCCCCGTTTCCTGCCCCCTGAGCCAGCCCCTGGGCCGGCGCCCCCTAGAGGGGAAAGGCCCCATGTCCCATTCCCCGCCCCCCACCCCCGGGCCGGCGCTCCCTGCAGGGGAAAGGCCCCGTGTCCCATTCTCCGGCCCCCACCTCCGGGCTGGCGCCCCCTGCAGGGGAAAGGCCCCGTGTCCCATTCCCTGCCCCCCACCCCCGGGCTGGCGCCCCCTGCAGGCAAAAGGCCCCATGTCCCGTTCCCCGCCCCCCCCAGCCCCAGGCCGGCGCCCCCTAGAGGCGAAAGGCCCCGTGTCCCATTCCCCGCCCCCCACCCCCGGGCTGGCGCCCCCTGCAGGCAAAAGGCCCCATGTCCCATTCCCCGCCCCCCCCAGCCCCAGGCCGGCGCCCCCTAGAGGCGAAAGGCCCCGTGTCCCATTCCCCGCCCCCCACCCCCGGGCTGGCGCCCCCTGCAGGCAAAAGGCCCCATGTCCCGTTCCCCGCCCCCCCAGCCCCAGGCCGGCGCCCCCTAGAGGCGAAAGGCCCCGTGTCCCATTCCCCGCCCCCCACCCCCGGGCTGGCGCCCCCTGCAGGCAAAAGGCCCCATGTCCCATTCCACGCCCCCCCCAGCCCCAGGCCGGCGCCCCCTAGAGGCGAAAGGCCCTGTGTCCCATTCCCGGGCCCCCACCTCCGGGCTGGCGCCCCCTGCAGGGGAAAGGCCCCGTGTCCCATTCCCCGGCCCCCCAGCCCCAGACCGGCGCCCCCTAGAGGGGAAAGGCCCCATGTCCCATTCCCCGGCCCCCACCCCCGGGCTGGCGCCCCCTGCAGGCAAAAGGCCCCATGTCCCATTCCCCGCCCCCCCCAGCCCCAGGCCGGCGCCCCCTAGAGGCGAAAGGCCCTGTGTCCCATTCCCGGGCCCCCACCTCCGGGCTGGCGCCCCCTGCAGGGGAAAGGCCCCGTGTCCCATTCCCCGGCCCCCCAGCCCCAGACCGGCGCCCCCTAGAGGGGAAACGCCCCATGTCCCATTCCCTGCCCCCCACCCCGGGCCGGCGCCCCCTAGAGGGGAAAGGCCCCATGTCCCATTCCCCGCCCCCCCCAGCCCCAGGCCGGCGCCCCCTAGAGGCGAAAGGCCCTGTGTCCCATTCCCCGCCCCCCGTCCCCCACCCCCGGGCTGGCGCCCCCTAGAGGGGAAAGGCCCCTGACCCAACACCCCCCTCGCCACCAGGGGCCCCCACTCACCCCGGCCAGCTGGCTGCCGGCTAACATGAGCTGGGCCTGGGGCAGGTGGGGCTGCTGGGCCGGGGGGGCAGGTGCTGGAGCTGGAGGCAGGGCTGGGGGGTCCTCCGCCTTGATCTGGGGGAGAGGAGAGACTGGTCAGGGGGGCAGGGCACTGGGGGGGCAGGGCAGGGCATTGGTAGGGGGTAAAGGGTCACATCTGGGGGTCTGGTGTGGGGCGTCTGAGAGGGCCTGGAAGGGGGGTTGGAGCGGAGGAGTCGGGGTCACAGCAGGACCTGGGGGGGGGTCAGGAGTCAGAGGGGACATGGCAGGGGGTCAGGGGTCACAGGGAGGCCGGGGGGTCGGAGTTGAAGGGTGGGGGGTCAGGAGTCGGGGGGGGGGGCCTGGCAGAGGAGTTGGAACGGAGGGGCCAGGGGTCAGAGGGGGGCCAGGTGGGGGGAGACTTTTGGCCCCAGGCCAGCCGGGGCCGTTCTCACGCTGATTTCTCCCTCCCCCCCGGGAGCCAGACTCACACCCCCCCCCCGGAAACCCTGAGGTGCTGGGCGGGGAGATCCCCTCCCCCGGCCCCGCCGGCATGGGGGGGCATATGGGGGGGCCGGGCTGGGGAGCTGCGAGGCGGGGGAAGGACCAGGGTTACCTGACAAGGTTCCTGGGGGGTCAGCTCCCCAGCTTGCGGAGGGGGGTTGGCGGGGGGGGTGGGGCGCTCGCTCGCTCGCGCTCTCTCCCGCCCCCCCGCCCGCTGAGCCGCTTCCTGTTTTGCTGCCGCCCCGGGGGCCCCGGGATTTCCCCCCACCCCCACCCCCCTGAGTCATCGCCCGCAGCCAGCCAACCGAGCAAAAACAGGAACGGGGGGGGGTGGAAACCCCTGGGAACCAGGCACGGCCCCCCCGCTAGCCCCCCGCCAGGCTACAGCCCCCCCGCCAGGCACTGCCCCCCACCGGCCCCCCCGCCAGGCACGGCTCTTACCTTGGGGCTGGGGCCGGTGGGGGCCGGAGAGAATGGGGCTGGTTTGCTCTGCTGGGTCTGCGACAGACGGGGGGACCCCGAGTCAGTGGGGGGATGGGGACCCTCCTCTGCCCCCATGCTCCCCACAACCCCAGTGCACTCCCCCACCGTGACCCCCCAGCCCTGCACGCTGTCTCTTTCCCCCCAACCCCACTGCTCCCCCACCGCCCTCCTCTGCCCCCCCACCTCTCAGGCCCCTGCCACACTCCCCCCAAAGAGGCCCCCCCGTCTCACTCACCTGGTGGTTTGTGTCGGGGCCGTTTCGTTCTGTGTCTGGAACAAGAGAGAAAATGAACCTTCGTCTCCTGCCCCCCGCAGCGGGATCAAACCCTCACAACCCCCCGCCCAGGGCCCTGCCCCCCAACACTGGGCCCCCCAAACCAGGGCACCCACAGGGCCTGCTAAGGGCCTCGTTCCTGACCCCCTTCGCCAGCTCCGCTGCGGGAGAGAGACTGGTGGGGGGAGGGGGGCAGCCTCCGGTGAGGGGCAGCCCCAGCAGGGAGATGGGGGGCAGCCCCCAGTGGGGTCTCGGGGGTACCTGTGTGCTCCCCATGCAGCTGCACTCGCGCCTTCTCCAGCTCCAGGGGCTTAGACATTCTTATTTCTAGAGAGAGAGACAGGGAGCGATGAATGACCGGGCCTGGGACCCAGGCGTCCTGGCTCCCCCCGCCCCCGCCCCACTCTAACCACTAGGCCCCACTCCCCTCCCGGAGCCAGGAGAGAACCCAGGAGTCCGGGCTCCCGTTGGCTGCTCAGTGACAAGCCCTGAGACTGAGCATCCAGCCGGGGGGGGCCGGGTCCCTTCGCTGCGGCGGGGCACAGAACTGGCCCGATCCAGCCCCAGGCGGGGGGGAATGGGACATGGGGCCTGTCCCCTCTAGGGGGCGCCAGCCCAGGGTGGGGATGGGACATGGGCCCTTTCCCCTCCCCCGCTCAGTGCTCTCTGGCTGGGGCTCCCCCCTCCCACAGATGGAAACCTTCAGCCCAACCCCCGCCCCATCAGATTCCCTCCCCCAGCCCCTCCCCCACCAACTCAAATTGGGGGTGACCCATAACCCAGCCAACTCCCCACCCCCGCCCAACCCTGCTCCCCACCAAGCACCCCCCAGCAATTACCTCCTGGGTGAGAATTTAACCCCTTCCTCTCCAAACCGCCAGCCAGCCCCAGGGGGGTCCCTGCCCCCCAGGCCGCAGACACGGTCCCCCAGCTCCCGGCTGCTCGGCTGGCTCCACGGCCCCGGGAGCAAGTGGGCCCAGAGCCTGGGGCTGTCAAGAGCCACCTGCTGCCTCATTTGCATGAGGGACTGAGTCACTGGTACAAACCCCGAAACAGGCGGGCGGGGGGGCGGGGGCAGGCCCCATTCTGGGGATCCCAGGGACTGGCTATGGGGGGGACGGGGGGACGGGGCCACATCTTGGTGCCAGGGGGCCTGGGTACAGCGGGGTGGATGGGGCCTGGGACTAGGGGGGGCTGGGGTACGGCATGGGGCTGGGGAGTGGGGGGGCCTGGGGTACGGCAGGGGGCTGGGGCCTAGTGCTGGGGGGGGCTGGGGTACGGCGGGGGGCTGGGGGGGCAGGGTACAGCCAGGGGGCCCGTCCCGCAGGTCATGGCCTGACGTTCCCAAGCTGTGACAGCCTCGGCCCCCCGCCCCCCATCGTCTCGCTTTCCAGGCCCCATCAGCATTCTCCATCCCTGGGGCCGCCAGGGGGCGAGGAACATGTCCCCCCGCCCCCGGCAGCCCAGCCCCTCCCCCCTCCCCAGCTCTGCTCTGCAGGACTGGCCTGTGGAACTGCCCGCCGCAGGGCGGGGCAGGGCCGGGGGCCTGGGGGAGTCCTGCCTCCCAGCCCCAGACACAAGCCTGCCTGCCCCCTCGCCCTCGCCGGGGGCCGGGCCCTGCGGCGGGAGCAGGCGCCCCACGCCGGGCTGGGGGGCCGGGCCTGGCAAAGCCCCCCCGGCACTTTCACTTCTCCTATTTGTTTCCCTTTCGCATTTTTAGCCGGTTTAAAAACAGCCTCAGATTTACTGAAACCCCGGCTAAAAATACCCCGGGGAATCGGCCGGACCCCCACGGCCGGCCCCCCCCACAGCCAGCGCCCGCCCCCCACGGCCAGCACTCCCAGCCCACAGCCAGCCCCCCGATGGCCAGCCCCCCCAACGGCCAGCCCCCCAAGGCCAGCACCCCCACCCCACAGCCAGCCCCCCACGGCCAGCCCCCCATGACCAGCCAGCCCCTCACGGCCAGCACCCCCACCCCACAGCCAGCCCCCCATGGCCACCCCCCCCAATGGCCAGCCCCCCACGACCAGTCCCCCATGACCAGCCAGCCCCTCATGGATAGCACCCCCACCCCACAGCCAGCCCCCCACAGCCGCCCCCCCCAACGGCCAGCCCCCCACAGCCAGGCTCCCCACCCCACAGCCAGTGCCCCATGGCCAGCCCCTCCACCCACAGCCAGCCCCCCATGGCCAGCTCCCCACAGCCAGCCTCCCCCCACAGCCAGTGCCCCCCACCCTCCACACCCCACAATCAGCCCTGTCCCACTCCCCACAGCACCCCCTGCCGGGAGCCCCCCCACCCCATGAACACAGCCAGACAGAGAGGGAGCCCAGGGAGGGGAAACCGACCCAGCCCTGCCCCCTGCTCCTATCCCCACCCCCTACCTGGCATCCACCTGTTGGGGTTCACCATGGCGGGGGGAGCTCGGCTGCATGGGCCCCGGCAGCGTGGTGCCCGGCGGGTCGAGGAGGGGGTGTGACAGGGGAGGGGCAGAGCAGGGGGGGAGTTCCCAGCCCCCCCCCGGGGAGGAGAGAGGGAAGGAGCATGGGGGGGGGCAGGGGGAACGCGGCAGCAGGAAGCAGCTGGGAGGAAATTGCAGGGGGGAGGAGAGTGGGGAGGAAAACACCCGGCGTGCGACAGAGCCCCTGGCACAGACACGCCCGGCGTGCGACAGGGCCCCTGGCACAGACACAGGCATGCCCGGCGTGCGACAGAGCCCCTGGCACAGACACGCCCGGCGTGCGACAGGGCCCCTGGCACAGACACAGGCATGCCCGGCGTGCGACAGAGCCCCTGGCACAGACACGCCCGGCGTGCGACAGAGCCCCTGGCACAGACACAGGCACGCCCGGCGTGTGACAGATCCCCTGGCACAGACACAGGCACGCCCGGCGTGCAACAGAGCCCCTGGCACAGACACAGGCACGCCCGGCGTGTGACAGATCCCCTGGCACAGACACAGGCACGCCCGGCGTGCAACAGAGCCCATGGCACAGACACAGGCACACCCGGCGTGCAACAGGGCCCCTGGCACAGACACAGGCACGCCCGGCGTGAGACAGAGCTCATGGCACAGACACAGGCACACCCGGCGTGCGACAGGGCCCCTGGCACAGACACAGGCACACCCGGCGTGCAACAGGGCCCCTGGCACAGACACGCCCGGCGTGCGACAGAGCCCCTGGCACAGACACAGGCATGCCCGGCGTGCGACAGAGCCCCTGGCACAGACACACACACACCCCCAGCGTGCAGCAGGGCCCTTGGTTTAGACAGACACACCTAGTATGCAACAGGACCTCTCACAAAAACACATGCACACACAGTGTGTGACATGCTTCTGGCAGATACATGCACACCCGGCGTGCAACAGGGCCCCAACAGAGACACTCACACATCTGGCACACCTCCCTGTGCGACAGGGCCCCTGACAGTGTCACGCACACCCCCCGTGCGACAGGGCCGCTGACAGAGACACGCACACACCCCCGTGCGACAGGGCCCCTGACAGTGTCACGCACACACCCCCGTGCGACAGGGCCCCTGACAGTGTCACGCACACACCCCTGTGCGACAGGGCCCCTGACAGTGTCATGCACCCCCCCGTGCGACAGGGCCCCTGACAGAGACACGCACACACACCCGTGCGACAGGGCCCCTGACAGTGTCACGCACACACCCCTGTGCGACAGGGCCCCTGACAGTGTCATGCACCCCCCCGTGCGACAGGGCCCCTGACAGAGACACGCACACACCCCCGTGTGACAGGGCCCCTGACAGTGTCACGCACCCCCCCGTGCGACAGGGCCCCTGACAGTGTCACGCACCCCCCCGTGCGACAGGGCCCCTGACAGAGACACGCACACCCCCATGGACAGGGCCCCTGACAGTGTCCGCCACCCCCGGCCCCTGCAGGCACGCACACACCCCCGTCGACAGGGCCCCTGCAAACCCCCCCCCTTCACGGCCCCTGACAGAGACCCCACCCCCGTGTGACAGGGCCCCTGACAGTGTCACCACCCCCCGTGCGACAGGGCCCCTGACAGAGACACCACACACCCCCGTGCGACAGGGCCCCTGACAGTGTCACCACACCCCGTGCGACAGGGCCCCTGACCCCACTGCCACACCCCCGCGACAGGGCCCCTGACAGTGTCACGCACCCCCCCGTGCGACAGGGCCCCTGACAGAGACACGCACACCCCCATGTGACAGGGCCCCTGACAGTGTCACGCACACCCCCCGTGCGACAGGGCCCCTGACAGAGACACGCACACACCCCCGTGCGACAGGGCCCCTGACAGAGACACGCACACCCCCTGTGCGACAGGGCCCCTGACAGAGACACGCACACCCCCGTGTGACAGGGCCCCTGACAGTGTCACGCACCCCCCCGTGCGACAGGGCCCCTGACAGAGACACGCACACCCCCCGTGCGACAGGGCCCCTGACAGTGTCACGCACACCCCCCGTGCGACAGGGCCCCTGAAAGTGTCACACACACCCCCGTGCGACAGGGCCCCTGACAGAGACACGCACACACCCCCGTGCGACAGGGCCCCTGACAGTGTCACGCACCCCCCGTGCGACAGGGCCCCTGACAGAGAAACGCACACACCCCCGTGCGACAGGGCCCCTGACAGTGTCACGCACACACCCCCCGTGCGACAGGGCCCCTGACAGTGTCACGCACCCCCCCGTGCGACAGGGCCCCTGACAGAGACACGCACACACCCCCGTGCGACAGGGCCCCTGACAGTGTCACGCACCCCCCGTGCGACAGGGCCCCTGACAGAGACACGCACACACCCCCGTGCGACAGGGCCCCTGACAGTGTCACGCACCCCCCCGTGCGACAGGGCCCCTGACAGAGACACGCACACACCCCCGTGCGACAGGGCCCCTGACAGTGTCACGCACACACCCCCGTGCGACAGGGCCCCTGACAGAGACACGCACACACCGCCGTGTGACAGGGCCCCTGACAGTGTCACGCACCCCCCCGTGCGACAGGGCCCCTGACAGAGACACGCACACACCCCCGTGCGACAGGGCCCCTGACAGTGTCACGCACCCCCCCGTGCGACAGGGCCCCTGACAGAGACACGCACACACCCCCGTGCGACAGGGCCCCTGACAGAGACACGCACACCCCCCGTGCGACAGGGCCCCTGACAGTGTCACGCACCCCCCCGTGCGACAGGGCCCCTGACAGAGACACGCACACCCCCCGTGCGACAGGGCCCCTGACAGAGACACGCACACACCCCGTGCGACAGGGCCCCTGACAGTGTCACGCACCCCCCCGTGCGACAGGGCCCCTGACA